TGCGAGCCTTCCCCTCCCTCCCCCTGCAGCCCCTCTCCCTTGCTTCTGGCCCCACCCCCACTCTTGGAGCCCCACAAGGCACCAGGCCCTCTGCCTCCCAGGCCTCACTGCTCACCTGCGCCTCCTGCTGGTGTGCCCCTCCTGCGCTCAGGACAGAGCAGGCCAGCCTGCAGCTCCTCTCCTGCACGTCTACGTCTCGCCCCTTAGTAAGCCTGTCCACTCTGCCAAGCAGATCCCCGCCCAAGTCGCCTCGCCACTCCCCTGCCCACCCCGGGCCCGGCCACCTTCATCTCTCCAAGCAGCCTCCTCACTGGGCTCCTGGCTTCTGTTCTTGACCCTACAATTCAAGTGTCTACTCAACAGCTCACGACCTTCCAAACGCACCAGTGAGAGGACGTCATTCCTGTGCGTGTCACCCGCCAGCACTTCCCTCCGCATTCGGAATGAGCTGCACACGCCTCACCTTGTCTGTGAGGCCCTGCTGGATGTCCGGTGCCCGCGCCCAGCTCATCTCATCCCTGGCTCACTTCTCTTTACTCAAACCCGCAGCCACTGGGGTTTCTTTGCTTCAGTGAGCACCCCAAGCTCACTCTTACCCCAAGCTCACTCCCACCCCAGTGCCTTTGCACCTGCTGCTCTCAGCCTGACTGCCCTTGCCACCCTCACTCTGTCCAGCCCATCCCCACTCTGCAGCCAGGAGCCTCTTCCTAGAGCCCAGATCTGACCAGAACCCCCCCCCACCCCCCCAACCCTGCCCACGAGGACTCTCCATCAGGCCCCAGTGAACCGCGTCAGCTTCAGCCCCTCTTGGGGTGACAGCTACACTCAGCTTCTTCCAGTTGTTTGAGGCTGCCATGCTCTCTCACCTCTGAGCCCTGGCGTACAAGGTCATGTCCCCCTCAACTCTCTCAGGGGCTCCTGCTTATCCTTAAAGGTCCAATTCCAGCACCATCTCCTCAGGGCACGCTGCACCCCTCTCTGAGTTGCCCCGCCACGTGGCCTCTGCCACAGGCTAGGCGCCTTGGGGTGGCAGGGGTGGGGGCTAGCTTGTCAGCCTCCCGGGATCTAGAACAGTGCTGGGCCACCAGACAGCAAATGCCCAGTGGGTGCCCGGGCCCCCCTGCGGCCCTCACCTTGCATGTAGATGACCAGCAGGGTGTAGCAGATGGTGAGCGGCGTCCAGAAGCGCACAGCCTCCGAGGTGGTCATGAAGTCCCGGTTGATGAGGGCCACGGCCGCCAGGTCGCCCACAGCAAAAGCCACGACCAGGGCGCGGCCC